CCAAATGCGTGTCGAGTCCACATTTTCAGGTGATTACTGTAGTAATAACTATAATGATTCATTCTCCCAACGGAAAGCTGACAACGATTTGCATCTATTGAGTTTCTGTAAAGAATACAAAAATATCCTCAAGTATAATCTGGTTATTTTTCAGGTTGCTGAGCGAGCTCTTTATCTATGGAACAATGAGTACGCCATGTCGCTCATCGAGGAGAACAACGCGGTTATTATGCCGATCATGTTCCCGGCCCTTTACCGCATCAGCAAGGAGCACTGGAATCAAACCATCGTTGCGCTCGTCTACAATGTATTGAAAACGTTCATGGAGATGAACTCGAAGCTGTTCGATGAGCTGACCTCCAGTTACAAGGCGGAGCGGCAAAAGTGGGTTCGAAATCTTAATTCTTGGTGTCCAAAGTTAAACATAATCGTTTTTTCCTTTTTTAGAGAGAAGAAACGTGAGCGTGACCGCGAGGAGCTGTGGAAAAAACTGCACGAACTCGAATCCAATCGTTCTAGTGGGCGCACCGCCGGCGGCAGCGCTACGACATCGAACAGCGCAGCTCCCGCGGCGTCAACGTCCCTGCAGCCACCCAGCGCCGCTGGCCTGAACTCTCATCAGCAGCAGTCGAATAGCAGCAGCAGCGGTAGCCTGTCCAGCGGCGGAGCCGGCGGCGACAATAATCCTGCGACCACAAATGCGAAAATCAAACAGGATAAGGCGGACAACTAAGCAAGAAACGCGAGGCGCGCCCGAAACTAACAATAAAACCAACATCAGTAATAGCGTAAGCGTTACGCGTTATCCGATATCCGTAAACGGCTGAGACAACAACCACATCTAAAGGAGAAATAAATAGTTATACTAAACCACACATATGCTAAACTTTAAAACCAGAAAATATAAAACTAAACTGTATACTCGATTGACAAGACACCAACCATGCTGACCCGCAGGACGCTTGGCCGGCTGTTAAAGGAGGTAGGACCGAAATCTGGAGCGGGAGCTGAATCAGATTCCTGGGCGTGTGTGTGTGCGGTAATTAAGAAGCTTGAGTGCGGCATAAAAGAAATCTTTATAAATAATGTATCTTACACCTACAGCAACACACACACGTGCGCGACACGTATAAATATATATTACAAAGGAAGAAACATAATTATTAATTACGTTTAAGCGAAAACAAGTTCAATAAAGAGAAATCATGTTAGTAAGAGAAAAGCAGAAGATCGATAACTATAACGGATTGAAGATTGTTGAAGCGCATTGAATATTATTAACTAAACATATTGCTAACTAGATCCTAGCATAGATCAGCCATCCTATCCCCAACCACAAACACTACAACATCCTACTCACCAATATGTTCACTTGCAATTATGTTTGCGTTTTTTTGAAGTGTGTAAAATAGTTGAAACTGCATTGCATCCTAAGATTTTGATTTAATTAATTGCTCCATAGAACGGCGTGTCTTAGTCCAGATTTCCCACTGAATTGTATATAAGATATCCGAGAACTGTGCTCCTCCTTACCCCAGAATGAAACTTTGTTACTTAGCTTTAAGTGTTGCACACTCCGTCAAGACTTTTCGAAAACAGAAATTCCAACAATTCCCGCTAAATGCCTGCGCAGTTACGAAGACGAATCTGCATTCGAGCATAGACAAGAAAAACAAAAGCAAAGCCGAGTTTTAGTACATTGTTGAAGTTGCTGCTAAACGGGCCAAGATAGACAAGGAGCCGGCGAATATATAAATAATTAAGAATACAATTTAATACCATACCATAACGTACGATAATCGCTGATCTATATAAATGTGTTTAAGTGTGCGGAAAATACAAAAATATATCTCCAAGCTGAAGAATAAGAGCATGCGCGGAGGTCAAGATGTACTCGTCAAAAAAGAATACAAAATATTGAGCATTGTAAAAAGGTTAAGCTAGAGAAACCAACAACCAAGCAAACGATAGTATATAGAAAAAGGTTATGGAAAATTCAGCTTGGCATAGTCTATCCCCATACGATAATTGGTATCTAGCGAAACATTTCCAAAGTCCACTTTAGACTCGATGCATCTAAACACACTATAGACCCTTTGCATAGGTGTATGTATTTATATCTCTAGGGAAGGCGGTCCGGTGTTTCGAGCCCCAAAAAGTTTGCAAATTCCTTTCAGACTTCTCGATTTAATTATTTTACTTTCAATCCTCACGGAAATGCGCACAATTGTCATTCGATTTGCTAAACAATATTTTCAATTGTAAATAACGTAGCTAAGATAAAATGGGGAATTCTTTGGGCCGTTTTCCCGGCATCTCACTCTCACACACTTAGCCGCACTCATAGTAAGGAAATATATAAAATTTATATATGGCATATACTATGCATATGTATGTTTGTTCATTCAACTCTCACGCCCATTACAAAGTATAGAAGCATGCATTATAGGAGAAAAACTAGGATCAGAGGCGGCAAATAGGGCGAGATGAAAGTATCCACTTATTAATGTCTCATTAAGCGAAATCGCAAAAGTTCATATAATATTAAACAAAGATAATTGTGTCTGTGAATCGTGAGTTATTATACACATATATGTATACATATATTGCAAACAAAAAGAAAAAAGAGAAAAAAAATTATATTAAAATCTAAACGAAACGTAAAAGTTAGCGTTATTATTAAATATGTTTGTAAAACGTCAACAATATGCAACACAACAAATGCGAGGGAAAAGCGAATAAGTGCATCAACTAAAGAGTCATCGGCTAGAAGAGAGAGTATATTTCGAAAATAAAAAATTGAACCTATGGCCTAAATACTAAGCAACGTGTGTAAGAAAGTTTTGCATCTTTATATTAGCGTGTAATTAAACAAAACAAATAGCTAAACAAAGCCTAAGCCTAAACAGCAACTACAACTAGAGCTACTACCAAGAACCCGCGAGTATCATCCCCCCATTGACAAGCAATAGCGATCAGATCAGATCAAGTTACTCCAGAGCGTTAGGTCTTGCTGCCTTCAAATGTCCCAAGAAGAACACCAAAAAATTTAAAAACTGGAAAGTAGAATGTTAAAAATTGGGGGCAGAAGTTGTTGACCTGTTTGTTATGCCAATCCAGTAACACCAAAATTCTATACCTAACTAACAAATCCATAACACACGAATAGGACCTATCTCTAGTTAACGTTGATGTTCGCATAGGATGCCAATCAGTGACAAAAAACATATTCAAATAATGCAAATGTAAAAACGAAACAAGAAATCAAGTAAACAACAAGAATAAACTAAACAAAAATGTTGAAAAAGAATGCCTAATAAACGATAAATATTTAAGTCAAGTGGTTTAATGACTATTGTCTCTTCATTTTAGTTTATTTTGTGATCATCACTTCTGTTGCACTCTGAGTTAACCTGTTTAGTCCGCTTTCAACTTATATGGTAACTTTAACTATAGTTTCTATTATTGTATTTATATGTATAAACAAATCGAGCATGTTAAATCGTAACTGCGAAAGCTGCTTAGAGCCAGCTGAGCAAAGAAGTATAAGCAAAAGCAAAACTCGTTAAGTACTTTTAGAGACAAAACCTTGTACTAAGAAATGTACTAAAAATAAAGTTGCATTAACAACGTTGCATAAAAAACAAAAGCCGAAAAAAACGGAAAAAACGGAAAAAGCTAACAAAATCCAACAACAACAAGAGCATAAATAGTTAAAGCGCTTAAACAATATAAATACTATGGATACTAACAATGAAAAGAGAAATGAGCCGATGGAAAGGATAAATATATATGTGAATTATGTATTTTCTTATGTTCTAGACTTGTAAAAAAACCTATCGTATATGACACACGCTATTATTATGTATAACTTTGAGTTCTTGTTTAATAGGACGGTGTGCGAGGATTTCGATTGTTTTCTTGGGTTAAAAGCACACTGCACCACACTCACCCACACACCCACTCATACACACTCACACACATAACTAAACAAAATCTTATGCTGAGAGTAAATATAAAGAGTAAATTAAAATTACACAAAACATAAATGGGAATAAATATATATAGGTATATACATGCATATATATAAAAATATATATACAAGAGCATCGGAAAACAAAGGTTTAGTTGATTGCTTTCAAAAACAGGCAGAAAAAATGACACTAAAAATGTTGTTAATTTTTTTTTCCATTTTTTCTGTCTGAATTTAAGAGGCAGCTGGAAAAAATGAAATTGCATGGCGCAGACGAAAACAAATATTTAGCTGCAAGCAGAATTAACCAAAAATATTAAAAACCAAGTAAAACATGAAAACACACAAACTGAATGAATGAGTACGAGCAAACGGAGAGAAAAGAAGCAAAGAGATCAATCAACAATAAAAAATTAATAAATACAAAATAAAACACAAAACTTGTTTAATTTCTAATGTTAAGATAATAATGAGATGTGAAGCAGTAAGAGGGAATCGAGCGAATCGTATCGAGCGAACATTTTTTGAAAATGTGTGAATTTCAACAAATTTTTGAATAATTCCTTTATAAATTTTCTTAATTTGTTAATAAACTACTTTGCGTATAAAAGGTGCCGATTTTGATGCCGAAAACGAAAAAGGATACAGGAAGTGACCTGGAAAATACTGCACTGCTTAAATTTCCAAGAGACAAATAGCATTTATATTACCGGTCAAATATTTAATGAGGCAGTCTAAAATTAAGTTTTTAAGAGTTTCAGATTTCTTTTCGAATCTTAAAAATCCAAAAATATAAAACTTGTTCAAGCCTTTGAAAAATGTCCTAGTAAAATACTAGTTGATAATTACACATATTAAACAAACTTAACTCATTTGAAATGTTTTAAAGGCAAAAGGCAAAGGCAAAAAGTGAATCCGGTTAATTTTAATTTTCTAGCAGTTAGCTTCTGTTGGCCGAAAAGCTATCAAATGCATAAAGCTTTGCATTAAAACTACAAAAGCTGTGCGGTGCAGTTGATTCGCTGCCGTCGTCGGGTGCAGTTGGAAAATCGCGAGAAAAATCAATTTTTGAAAATTTCATCCCTCGCCAAATATTGTCCAGTGATCCTCCATGAAGTGGGAGAACTATTGCGACTTTGTGGCTGGATGTTTTGGCGGTGAGTGAAAAGCTCCAGCCTGGCATCATCATGTAGCCCATATTGGGAATACTCTAGGAATGACGCAATGCAGAACCAGATGATAGGCCACTTGTTGAGAGGAACAGCCCCAGCGGAAAACGGGCGCCATGGTCAAGTTCACGTGCAGCGCCCCTGATCCCCGATTCGTATCTTTGTGCCGCATTCGAATTCTTGGCAATCGGCTTTTGGGGGTCCAACATGTGTCTTACATTGTGTCTGAAATTTTTAATTAATTTATGCTATGTTTATTTATCATTTTATTCAGGTGCCTGCGGGGTGCTGGTTGCCCACCCACTCGACACAATCAAAGTATGGCAACAGGCTTCAAATTCCTCCGTAGTAACAGCCATCCAACAAATCTACAGCCGCAACAATGGGGTAAGTTTAAAAGCGATTACATCTGGTCTGGGTTTTTGAAACAAAAAACGACTGTTTGATGAACTTAAAATATTTAAGAATTCAATCTACTGGCTGATAAAATTTTAACCATTTTGCATACGAATGTCTCCAAAAGTTTTCAAATACATAAAAAAAAATAATTGTTGCCTGATAGATTATTATTACCACCAAACGATCATCACGTAATAAGAGCTTATACACACATTTGGCAACTTGCTTTTTATGTCGAGACTGATCGGCGCACATATTAATACATTAAAATTGGTTTCTACAAAACCTTTTTCAAACTGTTCCAAAGCGATGACAAATTTTTATGAATGAATCATAACAAATTTTTTAATGAATTATGGATGACGCCTAATTAACAAGTGCCGACACTACTCTTCTTTAATGTCTCATGCGAACACAAAATAAATCAAATTTGATTGAGTTGCTATTTTTGGCGTAACGACATTTTAAAAGAATTCTAAACACCCTAAATGGTTGATATTTTTACTAATAAACCCGTTGACCAGACGTGATCCTTTAAGTGGGGTGACCGGGATTTGTAGGTTTAATCGGCCAACATCGCTTTAAAGGTCAACGGCTTCTACAGGGGCATGTTCTTCCCGTTCATCTCGACGGGAGCGATCAATTCGCTGCTCTTCGGCATCTATGGAAACCACCTGCGGCAGCTGAGGAAGGTGTGCCACAGTGATTACCAGCGGGAGCAGTTGGAGTACCACAACATGTTCCTTGCGGGATCGGTGGCCGGATTCGTGCAGTCCTTTATCGCCTGTCCCATGGAGCTGATCAAAGTCCGCCTGCAGACGGCGACCTGTAGGTTTGACCTGTTGGTATGATTAGGAAATTGGCACTTAATGTCTCAATGCTCACAGATTACAATGACTACCTCTATGGTCAGCGACGGACTGCCTTTGGCACTTTCAAAAGGATACTCAAGACTGATGGGATCTCCGGACTTTACCGCGGCCTACTGCCCATGATGTGCCGGTGAGATTGTTTTTATAGTTTATTTTAAATACTGTTTCAAGTACGCATTTGTATTGAAATTGCTTTACATACATTTTTTTAAATAAAACCTTTAAAAACAAGTAAAAGAATTAGAGTTTTAGAAATACTTTAAAAACGGTCAAAGTCAAATTAGAAGATCTTACTCTATTAATATGCTAGTATTAAGAAAGTATTTGGCTATAATAGCTATTATAATTATTACTTTATACATATATGTATGTCCGAGCCACCAGAATTAGGCAACAGTACCCATAGTTGAATAGATTTAAAGCCAATTCACCAAATGCAACCATTTGGTGTGCAAACAATTTTTATAATATGTACATTCTGACTTAAACCCCAATTTCAAACAAGTAAATAGAGAAAATAAAATAATAATATAAAAATTATTTTAAATTTTAAATTATGGCCTGGTTATCTTATATAAAATATGTTGTTCCATGGTTAATGTTTTAATAGTCCTCTTGTTTCCTTTGCAGCGATGTCCTGCCTTATGGAATCTATATGCTGGCCTATCGCCAGGGCGTTGACTATATGGACAGGCGGGATTTTGTCCGCCGGAGACGCAGTCAGTCGGACGGATCGAGTGTGAACCTGCTGGTGACCACGTTGGCTGGCGCATGGGCCGGGGTCATCTCGTGGGTGTGTGTCATTCCGTTCGACGTGGTCAAGACGCTGATGCAGGCGGACGAGAATCACAAGTACCGGGGAATCTTCCACTGCGTGAGGGTGCAGTACAGGGCCTATGGCTGGAGGAGCATCTTCCGGGGCAGCTGGATGCTGGTGGCACGAGCGGTTCCCTTTAATGCCGCCACTTTTCTGGGATACGAGTACGCCTTGGAGTGGTGCCAGCGGTGGAACGGTTCTTATGTATGACCCAGTCAGTCTGGCGGTGATTAAAAGCCTTAACTAGTTTGTATGCTGTCTACATTGATATTTGTTGAGACGGAGTGATTCAAACTCTTTGCTATATTGTACCAATTTAATATCTCTTATGCTGTGCAACAGTAATAATAACTAGCTTTAATATTTTTATAATAATAAATAAGATGTAAAATGCAATGGAATCAAATAAAAACAAATTTGACTAAAAATATCTACGAAGAGAGGAGAAGATTAATAATGAATTTCTGGTGATATGATATGAGATTTATTTATGATATTTATCAATAAATTCAGCGTATTTAAGCAACATTTGTTTATTATTTTTGATATTTTTAAGCCCACTTTCACTAACTTTTTTTTTGTTACTTTATTAATATTATCGCACATTACAATTTTGTATTGTTTTATTTGAATTTCCCCCATATAATAAGACACTTGTTGAGCCACGTAACATAACCACAGATATGGCAATCAAAAATACCCATATAAAGCTATGAAAAAAACATCCCTAACTAGAGGTTCTTATGGGGGTCTTCTAGTCTAGAGGCTCGATTTTTTCACAAATGTTTAATTTTGTCGAATTTTTTAAAAATATTATACATTTTTAATTTTTATTTTTATCGAAGAATATTCATGCCAAATTTCAAGTAAATCGACTGATTAGAACTTGAGATATTGTGGCTACTGCATCAAAAAAAGTAGTTTCACGTTTAAAGTTTTACGCTAAGTTTCGGGCAGCGTAACTGATAGAATATTACGTATAACTTTCATTATCTTAATCAGCTATCCCAGCTCCATACTGGAAATAAGGGTATTGTTATAGAAAGAAGGAAAGAAAGTTATTCATACTCAGGTAGCTCGGGCCTCCAGCCACCTATTGTTCCAGTCGTTCGCTCAACCGGTCTAGTTGCCACGTCTTTAAAACGGCTATAACTTTGAAAATAATTTTTGAAAAATCCTTTAGGGAGATATTTTTGAATATCAAAACTATCGAATTATTGAAAAAAATGTTAAATTTTTTTAAATTTAATGACTTAAAAGTCTTTTTTGGGTTTTTGGGGGGAGTCCCTGTCATCTCTTTTAACCTAATTTATCTTAAAATGATATAGAATTTTGGTGGGAGATATTTCAGGGGACTCCGCTTTAGTCACCATAACTGGAATGTGACGCTGGCTCGATCCAAAAGTTTACCGACAAACTCATTAGAATACTATGAACGCGTGTCTCGAGTTTTTTGTTATAGAAATTAGCATATGGAACCAAAGTTAAACACCGAAGTGACGATATAGATTTAAATGTCATTAAGCGAGGTTATAGATTTATAGTTAAAATAAAATTCTTAAAAATAGATTTTTTAAACATATTCTTATCAGAATTTTCTTCTAAGAACAAATATAAATTAGATTTATAATGTCGATAACTAGTTCTATCTCTAAGACCGATTAATAGTTATTGAAGTCACAACTTTTGCTACCGATGGTCGCGCAGGTGGACAAATTGCAAAAGAAACATAAAGTATTTTGAGAAAGAAAGTATATACCCTTGCAGTTATTACAAAACGATTACATTTCGATTGCTATGCCTATATTACTAAAAACAATGAAGCTATGTCGATTTTGCGCTGCATTTCGCCATCGTCTCTATGATAAAAGCGTAATTCCGATATAGTAAATAATATAATAATATTTTGATAAATAGTAAAACGGGAAAATACAATTTTTTCATTTTAATTATTTTAAGTTTTTTTTATTGTTTTTATGGCAGCTATATGATATATGTAGATGTCTGATTTTAATGTAATTAAAACCGGCTTGTTCTGACTTAAATACTACCAGCAATAGGACTAGTTTGCGTAGAAACGGACGGTGATGCTGATCAAGAATAGGGAAATGTCTCCTGTACTGCGTTGAAAGGTTTTGACTGAAATTATAATACCCTCTGCAAGGATATAAAAATTAGTCCTTAATCCTTACCATACATTCACCTACTTTTATTCGGAAGTCTAAATGCAAGAAAATATAAATTTTTGACGTCCAAAGTTTGCTTTTTTTCTTATTTTTATGAAAAAAATCAATATCGCTTGTGAAGTTGCTAAACCGGAACGGGTTTTCAATATGCCATAGATGTGGCTCATATTTAACTGTGCAAACCTAAGCAATATCACATCATTTTATTTTTGTGCGCGACTTAGTAAGCACCTGCTGCTATCTGCCGGGAAAAAAACCCAAGACTGTTCAATAAGTTAAGAAAAATTAGATCTTCAATATCCAAAAAAAAAGATCACTTTAACAGCCCAAATGATTTTCGCAATGAAGTTGTACATTTCGATTTTACTGCTTATTTTTTTCTCAATAGGTTGCTATTCGGGTAAGTAACATATGGCAACGATGGAAAACATTATATCCTGTTTAACGTTTTAAAAATTTTTTTTGAAGAGTGAAAATTTATAGTTGTATAAATTGGCTGCTCATTTTTTTGAAAAATAACATAAATGTCTCTAAAATCCAAGTGCCGTCAGCTTTCCGAATTTAGCTCCAAATTTTGAACGTAAAGCAAAAACCTGCGAAGTCAACGTTATCGAGGACCCTAACAAATTTTTTTGGCTTGTTCTTCGCTTAACCAACGACCAATGTGCGCTTTGAATTTTTCCCGATTTTGGAATTTATGAAACCAATCTTGAATTTAAGATCTTCCTTTTTTGTAACTAATTAAATTCTCTTAAAGTGTTTTTAGATTGCAAACTCAATGAAAAGTGCGTGAAGCTATATAAGTGCCCTCACTTGTATAATAAGAAAACAGACTGGAAAGCAATCAAACACAGACAGTGCGGTTTCCATCGACACCACAAATATATCTGCTGCCCGGAACCAGGTTACGTCCTGCCAAATGAGACGATCTGTGGAAAATTGGGTCCAACTTATCGAATTACAGGTGGCAAAGAGGCTCATCCGAACGAGTTCCCCTGGATGGCCCTGATTCTATACCGGAATAGAAGAACATTAAAACCGGAACCGGAAACCGTTTGCGCGGGGTCCCTGATCAACAACCGCTACGTCCTGACCGCAGCACACTGTGTGAACAGGATGTATTTGCCATTGAACAACAAGGTCTGGGCCGTTCGCCTGGGCGAGCATAAGCGATTCTTTAATCCTGGAGAGCATATAATCGAGCATATAATAGAGCATATAATCGAACATAAAGATTTTGACAGCACTCGACCTTGGGAGAACGACATCGCCCTCCTGAGACTCCAACTGCCAGTGCGGTGAGAAATGGATCATATCTAATGATTGACTTAAACAAAAACATAGAGTATTTTACTCAAGCTTGCCAATATTTAATTGCTTGTTTTATTTAATCAACTCCAATTTTTATTTCTCAGCTACACCAAAGCAATATCTCCCATTTGTGTACTCGGTGGGCATATCTCATCGAAACCCTACATAAGCACCACATTGGAAATAGCTGGTTGGGGCCGTAATGAAAAGAATATACCCAGTGTTGTCTTGATGAAGTCCAGCATAAAGGAAGTGGATGAAGTTCGGTGCTCTAGGGAATATGACTTTTCGCAGGCGTCACAAATATGTGCCGGTGGTGAGGGTGGCAGAGACACCTGTAAGGGCGACTCCGGCGGTCCGCTGATGGGCATCATGGGACAAAGCTACGAAGAATTCGTGTATTTATATGGCATTACCTCATATGGAAAGAATGGCTTGGCAGGTGTTTACACCAAAACGAAATTCTTTTACTATTGGATTAAGATACATTTGGAACCTTAAAACCGGGCTGATTATTTCAAACGCTTTTATATGTATCATCTCCGAAACCTGAACCTCCATTCACCATTGTGCCCAAACTACTAACTCGTCCACAGCTTAAACTTTTTCCAAAACAAAAGTAGACGAAAGCGATTTTAATACCTTTACCTAAAATAATTCCTGCTGCTAGAGTGGATAAATTTTCATTAACTCTAAAGTGGCACTGAAAGACTGATACAACATTTTATTTATTATATTTTATTATTGCTTGATGGTTTCGTGAATTATAGTCGAATTTCATTAACTCGTTGCTCTCTATCTTGATGTATTTACAAGTCAAAGTTTTTGAAGCCAGATTGTGGTTCCAGTTTTGTAAATTCCACTAATAACTTACTGGGCACAATACTAACAAAAGCGAATAAATCAACCGATTAAACCGATTAAACCGATTAAAAGTAATGATCTAAGAATATAAATAAAGTGCACTTGTGCACTTTTCTTCCAATCGAACATTCAAAAATATTCGTGTATCTTTATATAAATCTGTTGTAAAATAGGTTTTTTTGAATCTATTTAGCGTCAAATGGTAAACTCGAAAATAAAATAAAAACAAATTTAAGGCAAAATCAATACAACGTTTATAATTTCGAAAACGCTAAAGCAATCTTTATATACATAAATTTGATAAACCTTGGCATACCAAACATACTATTTTAAGAATGGTGGAACAAAACTGTTTACATTTTGACTTTTTTTATTCGTCTATTTAGATTACACCATTTTTATTGCCAACAAGAAAGGAAGTAAACTTCGGCCAACCTTGCAGTTATTAAAAAACAACTATTTTTATTTCTATGCAAATATTAGTAAAAACAAGAAAGGAAGCAAACTTAGGCAAGCAGAAGTTTATATACCCTTGCAGTTATTGCAAATCGACTACATTTCGATTTGTATGCCTATATTACTAAAAACAATGAAGCTATGTCGATTTTGCGCTGCATTTTAATTATTTAAATCCGTAATTCCATAATATTTAAATATTACCAAATCTCAAAGAACAACAAAAAAAAATTAAAAACAACAAAGTTATACTTTTTTTGAATTGTTTTTTCCGATTGCTCCTATGGGAGCTATAAGATATAGTCGCCTGATCCGGCTCGTTCCTTATATACTACCTGCAATAGAAAGACAGATATCTTTAAAACTGAGGGACTAATTCGCGTAGAAACAGACAAACGGACAGACGGACATGCTTATATAAACTCAGGATATATAATATATACTTATACAATATATAATATACATACTTTATAGGGTCGGAAATGCCTTCTTCACCGAGTTGCAAACTTTTGACTGAAATTATAATACCTTATGCAAGGGTATACAAATAACCTCAGCTTGCCTAAACAAGGGAGTTAAAAAGACGTGACACTTTCAGCATATACAATTTCGGACATCAAATTTTCTGATGAAAAATGAATAATTCGTTAACTGCCTTTGATCTTTAAGATCCAAAAATTAAAATTATTTTGACAATTCTAACAGTGCGAAATAAAAAACGTTTGACTAAAGTGCTGTACTGTAAAGGATTTTATCCAGAATTGAGCGTGGTTGCGACAAAATCAAAAGCTAGTTAACGAACCCTGAAGAAAGTATTCATAAACTCTAAAAAAAAAGAATAGAAAGGCCAGAAGAGAGGGGAAGGGAAAGACAAGAAGAAGAAAGAATAGGGAAAATATTATATTTGGGGATGTAATTGGACTCGCATGTGGCCCACTCTACCTAAGATAAAGATATCAAAAGTAGAAATAATTGTAAAATATAATATAATAATGACATGTGTAAATAAAACTAAATTACTATAGGTATATGGCTTTAAAGAATTATGGCTTATATTGCCCCGACTTACTGAGAGGTCGTATCGCAGGCTACTTCTACGTGATTTGGTGTCTAAATTGGCATTTGGGAATATAAATAAACATTGAAGTGACGTTATGGATGAATGCCGTAATCGCTTGATTTGAAAGAGCTGATGTCAATGGGGCCAGAGTTTTTTCTGGTACACTCCAAAGACTTAATGTTTCATATGAAACCTTTTATCCATTAAAGCATACATTATACATACAAATGTATGCCGGCGTTTTCGATTGTGGGGCAGCGCATAATAATATATTTTATATTATTATATTATTTATATTGTCTATTTAATTAAGGTTCCTGCAATTGTCGTTTTTACCATTGTTTTATCCCGATTATTTTATTTGTTATCGAATGTTGTATTAAAAAAATGTTAAATTGAATTAAAGGAAAAATAAATAAGTGCGCTTAAATTATTCTGGTATATATATATTTTTTAATTTTAACGTTGTTCTATTAATTTGGGAAAACTGGATAATGCTTTTCCAATTTTTCATTAAAAGTAGTACCGTTGTCAAAAATTGTTTTTTAGTATTTGTTTACTTACACTGGAACCAAATTTAAAACCTACAAAATAATGGCAAGTAAAATTAAAATGGCCTGTTAAATTGTTATACCCGTTACTCGTAGAGTAAAAGGGTATATTGTATTCGTGCAAAAGTATTTAACAGCTAGAAGGAAGCGTTTCCGACCCTATAAAGTATATATATTCTTGATCAGGATCACTAGCCGAGTCGATCTAGCCATGTCCGTCTGTCCGTCTGTCTGTCCGTCTGTCTGTCTGTCTGTCTGTCTGTCTGTCTGTCCGTATGAACGCTGAGATTTTGGAAACTATAAAAGCTAGAAGATTGGCATTTTGCATGTAGATTTTAGAAGTTCCTACGCAGCGCAAGTTTGTTTCAAAATGGTGCCACGCCCCCTTTAACGCCCACAATCGCTTATATACGATTTTAAAAATTTAAATATTTCGGAAAAGTAAAAATGCAGTTTTATGGTGTTTAAAAATACCTATCGAAATGTAGAAGAAATTTTTCAAATCGGACCATTCGTTAAAAAGTTATGCGTGATCAAAATTTCTATCTCCATCTCCCTCGCACTCCCTTTACCTGAGTAACGGGTATCTGATAGTCGGGGCACCCGACTATAGCGTTCTCTCTTGTTTCTAAAATAATATTCCGCGGAATGGGTTCTCGGAAATACACAACCAACCCACTCCTGTGTTGTATACTTATTGCTGCGCTGCACTATGGGGCCAACGACCACTTTGGTTGGCCAAAACCCATTTTTGAAAAGTCGTCAAAACCAAAAAAAGTTGTTTAAGGATATATTAACAGCGGAGTCCACTTCTGAAACCTATTGAGATTTGTAGAGTATTAAATTCTTTTTAAAATGTATATGGTTAGAATCGCCACTTATTGCCTTTTTTTCCGAAATTTAATTTTTAAGCACATAACCTAAAGTTTTGCAACCTTAACAGTAGTTGCGTTGAATATTAGAATCCTTTCGATTTGCAATGAAATATTGAACTAGAATCCGAAGAGCATGATGTTTAATAGCAGGTTCCATTTTTGTTACTTATTAATAAAATTTGTTTAATCCAATTTTTGTGCATTTACATTGAACCTTTGTGGAACGAAGAACATTTTGTTTTGCATTTTGAATTCTATTCAGAAGCAGATATAAAAAATATAAAAAAAATATAATATAAATGTAATTATAAAGTATATAATAAAATAAAAAAAATTTTTGAATCTCTTAAAAAATAACAAAATTGACTAAATGACTATGGGAACAAATGTTCGATCCTATTCTTTTTAACATATATGTTGCCTCAGGATACCAAAAAACGATTGGTAAAGTTTTATCTCGATATCTCTAAAATTGAGCGAGTTATTAATTTTGGCCAACAAAAGTGGTCGTTGGCCCAATGGCGCGCTGTTCGCTCTCATTGTTGAGGGCCGGTGCGAAGTGGTGAGTAACCGAAGTCAGTTTCCGACATGGCGATCAGCAGTTGTTAGTTCAGTGCGGGACTTCGTGGGCACCTGTTGCTTAGCGTAAGATTCTGTTTGTATAACTTTTGCCGTTAGCACCTGCTGCCACCTTCTTCCCGCTACGTGAGTGAAATAATAAAACTTTTCAAAAAAGTTCATATTTATTAAATAAAACAATTACATTTTCCAATTGTCCGAAAATTATTCAACTGCTTTTGATCTTCGAGATCCGAAAATAAAGATCATTTTGACAATTTTAGTGAGAAATTAAAAACAAAAACTTTAATAAACACCAACATATTATAATAAACTACTCCATATATGGACTTTTATTGCAGTGTTAATACAAATATTCCCAGCCAAAATGTTTTTCGAACTCAAGATGTACTTTTCCTTTTTACTGCTGATTTTTCATTCAATAGCATGCTATTCTGGTAAGTAACACCTGCAACGATTGAAAGCATTATGACCTATTTTACTTTTTCAATTAAAAAATAAATTTGACTGTAAATAATTTATTCAGTATAACATAATAATAATGATTAAAAATAAATTTAAGCCTTTGGTGGTTCTTGCCGTTAATGACATTTATTTTAGAGCGGTAATTCATAATTGTAAAATTTAGCTGCTCATCTTTTTAAAAAATTTCTCTAAAAATTTCAAAATTTAGCTCTTAATTATAGTCAACGTCATCACTGTAATCGAAGTCCCTAAGGAATCTTTAAAATCTATTGTATTTTAAGCTCTTAAACTTTGTTTTTGTTTTGGCTTGCTTTTCGCTGAACCAATGGCCAATTTTTTTGGACAGTTGGGTCGTACTCGTGATCCGTCTCTTCACTTCGGAAAAACTCGCGAAACAGCCTTCCGAGCATGGATGTGTGTTGTGCGAATCGGTTGAGAGAATCGGTAACGTAAATGTTCTCTGTTTACTAATTTCCCATGGAAATGTTAAAGACGTTAACATAAGGCGTCTCATTTGAAAAATATTTTATTACTCATGCGACATGGTTGTTTATTGGATATTCGCTCTGAAATTTTCAAGCTTTCTTCCTTCTTTTTAACTAATTAAATTCGCTAAAAGCTTTTTCAGATTGTAAACTTAATGAGAAGTGCGTCGAACTATATAAGTGCCCTCACTTGTATAATGAGAAAACAGACTGGAAAGCAATCGAACACAGACAGTGCGGATTCTACGGACACAAAAAATATATCTGCTGCCCGGAACCAGGTTACGTCCTGCCAAATGAGAAGATCTGTGGAAAATGGGAGAAGTGCGTCGAACTATATAAGTGCCCTCACTTGTATAATGAGAAAACAGACTGGAAAGCAATCGAACACAGACAGTGCGGATTCTATGGACACGAAAAATATATTTGCTGCCCGGAACCAGGTTACATCCTGCCAAATGAGAAGATCTGTGGAAAATGGGAGAAGTGCGTCGAACTATATAAGTGCCCTCACTTGTATAATGAGAAAACAGACTGGAAAGCAATCGAACACAGACAGTGCGGATTCTATGGACACGAAAAATATATTTGCTGCCCGGAACCAGGTTACATCCTGCCAAATGAGAAGATCTGTGGAAAATGGGAGAAGTGCGTCGAACTATATAAGTGCCCTCACTTGTATAATGAGAAAACAGACTGGAAAGCAATCGAACACAGACAGTGCGGATTCTATGGACACGAAAAATATATTTGCTGCCCGGAACCAGGTTACATCCTGCCAAATGAGAAGATCTGTGGAAAATGGGAGAAGTGCGTCGAACTATATAAGTGCCCTCACTTGTATAATGAGAAAACAGACTGGAAAGCAATTGAACACAGAAAGTGCGGATTCTATGGACACCACAAATATATCTGCTGCCCGGAACCAGGTGACGTCCTGCCAAATCAGACGATCTGTGGAAATTGGCGTTCAACTAATCGAATTAAAGGTGGCAAAGAGGCTCAGCCGAACGAGTTCCCCTGGATGGCCCTGATTCTATACCGGAATAGAAGAACATTAAAACCGGAACCGGAAACCGTTTGCGCGGGGTCCCTGATCAACAACCGCTACGTCCTGACCGCAGCACACTGTGTGAACAGGATGTATTTGCCATTGAACAACAAGGTCTGGGCTGTTCGCCTGGGCGAGCATAAGCGATTCTTTAATCCTGGAGAGCATATAATCGAGCATATAATCGAGCATATAATCGAGCATATAATCGAACATGAAGATTTTGACAGCACTCGACCTTGGGAGAACGACATCGCCCTCCTGAGACTCCAACTGCCAGTGCGGTGAGAAATGGATCATAACTAATGATTGACTTAAACAAAAACATAGAGTATTTTACTCAAGCTTGCCAATATTTAATTGCTTGTTTTATTTAATCAACTCCAATTTTTATTTCTCAGCTACACCAAAGCAATATCTCCCATTTGTGTAATCGGTGGGCATATCTCATCAAAACCCTACATAAGCACCACATTGGAAATAGCTGGTTGGGGCCGAACTGAAAGGAATATACCCACTGCAGTCTTGATGAAGTCCAGCATAATGGAAGTGGATGAGAAATTCTGCTCTCGGCACTATGTATTCTCGCAGGAATCACAAATATGTGCCGCTGGTGAGGGTGTCAGAGACACCTGTAAGGGCGACTCCGGCGGTCCGCTGATGGGCATCATGGGAAAAAGCTACGAAGAATTCGTGTATTTATATGGCATTACCTCATATGGAAAGAATGGCTTGGCAGGTGTTTACACCAGAACGAAATTCTTTTACTCTTGGATTAACAAACATTTGGAACCTTAAAACCTGGCTGATTATTTCAAACGCTTTTATATGTATCATCGCCTACTCCTGTTCCTCCGATTCCCCATTCTCCCGTACTACTAATTCTTAAACTTTTACCAAAACAAAAGTAGACGAAAGCGATTTTAATAACTTTACCTAAGAGAATTCCTGCTGCTAGAGTGGATAAATTTTCATTAACTCTAAAGTGGCTCTGAAAGACTGATACAACATTGTATTAAGTATAATTAATTATTGCTTGATTTCTTGAGAAATGTAGTCGAATTTCATTAACTCGTTGCTCTCTATCTTAATGTATTTACAAGCCGAAGTTTTTGAGGCCAGATTTTGGTTCCAGTTTTCTAAATTCCACTATTATCTTACTGGGAACAATACTAACAAAAGCGAATAAATCAACCGATTAAACCTCATAGAGTTAGAAGTGATGATCTAATAATCGAAAAAAGCTGCACTTGTGCACTTCTCTTCCAATTGAACATTCGAAAAGTATTCGAGTATCTATATATAAATCCGTTGTACGAAAGATTCTTTGAATCTACACTCATACCAAAATTAGCCCTAAAAACAAGAAATTCGTCATATTTTGATCTTTAATGGCAACGCACCATAAATTCTAGAGTCAATTTTTCTAAAATTAATGGCGTTCCTTTCTAAAATCTAAGGCAAAAGCCTTAAAACAAGAAAAACTTTTCTAAAAAATAGAAAAATATTTCTTAAAAGTATGGCATCCTACCATAAATTGTAGGCTACTTTTTTTTTAAAAATAAAAAAAATGTATAAAAAAAATGTGCCTGTACTCATCATCATGAAAATTTTCATTCAGGATTTATGAACTTATGTATATTTATGTATGTGATTTAAGCACTTCGCTTTTCATTCAGAAAAGTCACAAAGTTTGTATTAGTATTGGACTAATGAATTGCTAAGATCGATTTAAACTAGAATCCAGTGGGGGAAGAGAAAATGTGTATAATTATGATTTAGTTCAGTTATTACAAGTAAACTCTGATATTTATCTATCCGATACAAACGTATAATCTAATTTTTAGAGTTAATTTGAAATAAATTGATCTATTTTTTAGGGTAAATAATTTTTGGGGCAGAATTCTACATTAAAAAAAAAATTTCTAAAAACAAGTACCATTTTTACTAATATATAGAAATTTTTTCTTGTATTTAGAGCGATTTTAGTTTATGGCGACAATTTCTTCATTTGAGAAACGCTTTCTTGATTTAAGAAAAGTTTGTTTTCAGAAAAAAATTTCTGAAAATATAAATCTTTTTTTGGATTTGGAAAAAATAAAGTTTTATGGCGAATTTCTAAAATTTAGAGGTAATTTTGCAATGAGTGTGTATAGCGTTAAAACTAACCCAAATGATAAGCTCGAGAATAAAATAACAAATTTAAGGCGAAATCAATTCAACGATTATAATTTCAAAAAGGCTAAAGCAATCTTTATATACATATATAAACAGTATAAGCCTTGGCATAACAATCATAATATTTTTATCTGTTCTCAGTAATGAAAGTATAATGGGTAAAAGTATAATAGGAAAACGAACAAATCATCCAAAATATAATAATTCGACACTAAAATTAACTAATTTTTTTTGCAGAGCAATGCTTAGCAACTTGCTAAAACGAATTCCGTCTTCACCTAAAATCTTTCAGAAAATATTAATTTGCGTATGCTTCTGCTCGACATTTTCTTTACGGATTCTAATCAAATTTATGAAGAGTTGTCTATTTAGATTACACAATTTGCTTAGTCAAAAAGCACTCTCTATGCTAGTGAAAATCAAATAGTCTTAATCGTTGCTATCTTGTTCAAGCAGAATATATGTTTATACTGTATAAATAAATATAGCCATATACACCAAGAGTATGTAGCTTCTTAAACAAAAATAATGTTATTAATTTTATCGCAGTCCGCATTAGGACAAAACAGAAAAAAATGTACACACTCTAAAACACTTTTTTCGTTTCGCCAACCGTTTGGCGACAAAAACTACAGTTCTTCAGTTTTCGTTTTCGCAATCTACTTATATACTGCAAAAATATCGGAAAATCAGCATAGTTTTACTGTTAGTGGACCTTTACGCATAAAAATCGATATATATATATATATACAGACGTTTAATAGAATCAAACAAAGGAGGTAAAAATATCATGACGCTCGCAATTTCAACATTAACAAGAAAGAAAGCTAACTTCGGGCGGAGCCTTGCAGAATATTCTGTTTATTATATTCTCCAAAATCGGATCGGTTATTCATATGATGCATTCTTAATACTCATAAAAAATCCCAATTTCCTAACTTTAAAAACACCAAAGTTATGTCATTTCCAATCATTCAGTTATATGGAAGCTATAGGATATAGTCGGCCGACCTTATGAAATTTGGCAGGTCGGATTGATTGGCCAAAAATAAAACCCATAGATAATCCCAACTTCCTAACTTTACAAACACCAAAGTTATGGCATTTCCGATTAATTAGTTATATGGCGGCTATAGGATATAGTCAGCTGATTCTTATGAAATTTGGTAGGTCAGACTGATCGGCCAAAAATAAAACCCGTACAAAATCCCAACTTCCTAACTTTAAAAACATCAAAGTTATGGCATTGCCGATCGTTCAGTTATATGGCAGCTCCGACTTATATACTACCTGCAATAGAAAGACAACTTTTGGGAAAGTTTCAAGCAGATAGCTTTAAAACTGAGGGACTAGTTTGCGTAGAAACGGACGGACAGACGGACAGACGGACATGGCTATATCAACTCAGGAGGTGATCCTGATCAAGAATATATATACTTTATAGGGTCGGAGATGTCTCCTTCACTGCGTTGCACACTTTTGACCAAAATTATAATACCCTCTGCAAGGGTATAAAAACAGTGTTCCAAACGTAAACCTAAAACTTATCTGAACAGATCCACACCGCTAAATTTTCTAAAATTGCGTAAACTCTTTTCACTGTATAGGGATCACTGCTGCTGGTCGAAAAGTTGATTTCATTAGATACAAATGCCAATTTGAAAACAGTTTTGTTTAACATTCGCAGATTTATTTTTCAAGAGGCACACGACTCTTTTTATGGGTCGTTTAGTAAAATATAAAAAAATTAGTTGAAAACAGTTGCATATAAATAATGTTAAATAATCATTATGCCATGAGACATGTGACATATATTTAATTGCTAAATTTAAGTTGGAGACAGAAAATAAATATTCCAAAAATAAACCATTTTGATAGTGTATTGTGTTGTGATGGTGTAAAACATAAGCAAATAATATATAAAATTACAAAAATATGCCATGAATTATTTTTCTTATGCTAATAAAATTGTGTAGAATTTGTGAAGCACGCTAGAAATTGTCTTTTAATTTGGATAAATATAATCATCATATAGGGTTTTTAAAACAGGGTGGCCTGACCTTATTACAATACTAATATTAGGTGGAGATAAAGCTCACCTTATTGACCAACATGGAAATCATGTCATACGAACCAACGACGGCAACAGTATTATTTGCGGCTATTTATATCAGCTAGTTTATATCATCAGCTCTAGGCCTGGCACAGAAGGTTGAATCTAATCACGTCAGATACATATTCGCGGCTACGTTTGCGAAAAACCAGGCCAAGTCCAATTGGATAAATATAATCATAATATAGAGTTTTTAAAACAGGGTGGCCTGACCTTATTACAATACTAATATTAGGTGGAGATAAAGCTCACCTTATTGACCAACATGGAAATCATGTCATACGAACCAACGACGGCAACAGTATTATTTGCGGATATTTATATCATCTAGTTTATATCATCAGCTCTAGGCCTGGCACAGAAGGTTGAATCTTATCACGTCAGATACATATTCGCGGCTACGTTTGCGAAAAGCCAGGCCAAATCCAATGGCACAAGGTTGTCACACCAGAGTCCCCCTCAAAGAGATCCGCAGATCCGGGTACCTGAAAAAACCCGCATTTTATTAGGCAGAACAAGGCGCAGTTCCATTCGATCCATGCATTTTTCGTAATTAGACAATGAGTGGCGCCGGTTTATATGATATTCCCCAGGCATAAACTGCTGCCAAATAAGGAGTTGAGTTTGCAGTCGCCAATTCGTTAGGTTAAGGTCGTAGTAGAAATTTTTCGTACCACTGCAGTGAAGGCCACATTACTCATTTTACCAGACTTATATAAGCTATATATAAGACTTCGACTGCAAATTCAACTCCTTATTTGGCAGCCGTTTATGGTTGGAATTTCATTTCCACCGGCGACATTTTTCGTATCACAGTGAAGGCCAGACTTATATAAGCTATAAATGGGTCTGGCCTTAGACAAGTAAAAATATTTCTTGTTATTCCTAATTGTACGAGACTTATAATAATAAGCTATAGAGTGACGAACATATTTATTGGCACAGCAAGAACAATTGAACAATAAGTCTATATACTCTTGCAATTCAAATCGACTACATTTCGATTTCTATGCCTATATTTCTAAAAACAATGAAGCCATGTCGATTTTGCGCTTCATTTGTCGGTAAGCCGAAGTTTGCTTCCTTTCTTGTTGTTGTTTAGGTTAATCGCATACATATTTATTTTAAATTATATATTTAACAATACACCTGCTTGTGACTAGAAATCAAAATGCAAAACGAAATCTTCACTTCGGAAAAACTCGCGAAACGTAACGCAACGTGTGTTGCGCGAATCGGTAACGTAAATGTTCCCATGAAAATGCTAAATGCGTTAACATAAGACGTCTCAATTCAAAAATATTTTATTACTCATGCGACATGGTTGTTCATTGGATATTCGCTCTGAAATTTTAAAGCTTTTTCCTTCTTTTTTTGGTCAAAAGTGTGCAACGCTGTGAAGGAGACATCTCCGACCCTATAAAGTATATATATTCTTGATCAGGATCGCGTCCTAAGTAGATATAAGCATGGGATTTTTTATTAAGAATGCAACATTTGAATAATTTTGGAGAATATAATTTACAAAATATTCGGCAAGGGTATATCAACTTCGGCTTCGACCGAAGTTAGCTTTCCTTTCTTGTTAATATATATGTTGCCTGAGGATTCCATAAAACGATTGGTAAGGTTTTATATCAAAATCTTCGGAAAGTTAAAGTTTTTCTCGGAGCTGTATGGAAAAGTCTTTCGGGGAAAAGTCTTGGGGAAAGTTAAAGTCTTTTGGGGGACATGCGGAGCACAAGTCGGGCGAAAAATTCGAAGAGTTTAAAGGAGAGCGACCTGGCAATAGCAAAGGAGGCATGAATGCCGAAGGAGTCAGGAGACCATTTCTATAGCTATTATTCTCACCACTAATGTAGCCAATGCATGAACCCATTTTTCCAATGCAGCCGTGGTAGATATTCGATTTCAAAAACAAATGTCCCTAAGTTTCCGATCGAGAGTAGATGAACATAGTTTCTGAACAAGAGAGAACGCTATAGTCGGGTGTCAGGTAAAGGGAGTGCGAGGGAGATGGAGATAGAAACTTTGATCACGCATAACTTTTTAACGAATGGTCCGATTTCTACATTTCGATAGGTATTGATAAATAAATAAAACTGCATTTTTACTTTTCCGAAATATTTAAATTTTTAAAATCGTATATGAGCGATTGTGGGCGTTTAAGGGGGCGTGGCACCTTTTTGAAACAAACTTGCGCTGCGTAGAAACTCCTAGAATCTGCATGCAAAATGCCAATCTTCTAGCTTTTATAGTTTCCGAGATCTCAGCGTTCATACGGACAGACAGACGGACAGACAGACAGACAGACGGACAGACGGACAGACGGACATGGCTATATTGACTCGGCTAGTGACCCTGATCAAGAATATATATACTTTATAGGGTCGGAAACGCTTCCTTCTAGTTGTTACATACTTTTGCACGAATACAATATACCCTTTTACTCTACGAGTAACGGGTATAAAAACCACGTTCTTTTCCACAAAAAACTCAAGCTGGCCAGACGTATGGTCACGCCCCATCCAGACTGGTAACGTAACCTCAAGTCGGCTCACACGCCTCGTGACTTGAAAACCCAGGCCCAGCCAGCGGCATTGCCCTATTCACTGCAATTGCAGATCAATGAATAGTGGGAGGCCAAAAATAAATCAGTTCAGACAGACAAAAGGAAATCATCAGGTGCCAGCCACCCAAAGGGTAATTATTTCCTAATTATATTTGCCTCCAGGCCCCACTGATTCTCGGCGTTTTTTACAGGAGGGTCTGGCCCTTTATAAACCCATATAAAACATTATTTGGCAGTGCCCTACATGCATTTTTTTTGCTATACCTTGGCTATAGCCAAATAGCCCCAATCAGCAGTACAGGGAGGACACCATAATGGAGATGCCAAAAACCCTCCCATCTTAAGGATTATAAACGCAATAAATAATCCAAAAGTGCACATGTGAAAAGACAGCATAAAATAACTTAAAAACACAACCCCTAAATAAACCCTAAGTTGCCCAGCAACTAATAATAAGTGCTAAATAATTAGAAGTGCGCGAGTATCCTCTCCTAAGAAGGTTAAATATATTCATTTTATTGTGTTTTGACGGGCTAATTTTTGCCTAGGCAGCCCATCCTTTACTTCAAAGGCCTACTGTAGCCGCGTTTCATACCTGCGCGCAAAGTGACAACAAACACAATGTTCAAAACAAAAACTAAGTAAAAGTGCTTATATCTGTCTATTCTCTCGCCCACTCCGGATAAAAATGACCTAGTTATTAAAGTTCGGTTAAATTAAGCTAAAGCGTTTTATCTGATTTTGTTTATTAAAAAGTAAAGATCTAGTATGCAAAAAAAAGTGAAAAGATAACGTGTTCCTTTACCCAATATTTCAGCCATGAGTGTTAATTTTTTCTTTCTTCTTTTTCTTTGCTGAAACCCAATAAGAATAAATAAATAAAACACTAGAAAGAACCAGTAAAGTCAAACAACAAACACATTCACCGATTAATCTAATATAATTATTTTTGATCAGCTGTCGCCGCCGGAGAAAGATCTTTCGCCGTTGGATTGACGACCATGTAAGTGAACAACAAAAATAAAATGAAATTCACCAGTTATATGGATTTGCTCCTGTGATTGTTTGGTTAAAAGTGTTTAGTGAATTTGGAGTGCAAAAGACAGAAAAAGACATGCAATTTTTATTACTGTTGCTCTCTCTTTCTAACGCATGCAGTCACGCACCGAGAGGCGATAAGAGGTATGCGATCTTTGTGTTTACATTTTGATATTCGCTATTTTGTAAGATGCTGAGACACAGTGGCGGCTCAACATAATGTGTATGGCTAAACTTTACTTAGTCTAGTAATATGAAAGCGATTTAAACTTAATAATATTTATATATATAACTATATATAACTACTCATGGAAACTATTGACATACATTACATTTCTTATATATATTATTATTATTGTACTTTATATTAAATATATCTTATTAGTTGACTAGGGCATTAGGAAAAATGAAATGATAATATTGTAGGCAAATAACTCATGAATATTAAATTTAATTCCCTATCTTTATTTTTAATTTCTTTTCGCTTCAAAATATAATTTTAAGTATGTTTAATAAAATCTTTATAATGAAGTCCGAATAAGAAGATTTTTTTAGTTCGGGAATCATGCTGTACCGATATGAGGCAATGACCTAGCTGCTATACTACCTTAAGGGATCGCCAAATAAAACTATAGGATGCAATGCACCAGGCGATCATAGGAAGGGCGATCTAAGCTGGGCCAACAGGTAGTGTGGGTGGTTTAATTTTCCTGACTGCAATTCTATCTCTTCTTTCTTTGTTCTGTCCCGTCGAAACCAGCTAATTATTCTGTACAGCGAGCAAGCACATTAGCGATACTGATTACGTAACCCCGACCCATTTGGCCGAGTAAACTGAGCCGGAATACTAGCGCGTGCTCCGCAAAATAGTACTACGATTCCATCAGCTCGAATTACATGTAACGAATCCTTCGTTGTATGCTACAGCCGTACCGTGATATAGCGGTACGGCATTGGACCTTGGACAAAAAAAACCTACATGGAAAATAATGGTAAGCATACGATTAGTATATTAATATCTACAAAAAAAAACAAATGGTTTGTAATATTGATACTGAACCTGTTTGCCTGTTTTTTCGAGAATTCTCAATACTTGTGCGTCAACATTCGTTGAACATGTGCTCTTCAAACATGTTCGTCGAACAAGTTCGACAGTGGATATCTTGCTTATTTTTGTGCCTGACTTCACAAGGTGTTTTTATTCCGACTTCTGCCGGCAACGTGAGTGAAATAACAAAACTGCAGAATCCGTTTTTTTGTTATACTAATTAAATATGTATTTCAAAACAAAAATGTTTGGTTTTTTAATTGTCCGAAAATTAGTTTACTTTCTAATCTGAAATATAAATTAAAACAAGAGAGAACGCTATAGTCGAGTGCCTCAACTATTATATACCCGTTACTCAGCTAAACAACTTAATATAAATATGCCTTCTTGTTTTTTTTTTTTTTTTTTTTTACATAATGTGAATTATAGTGACCACAGGAAAAAAGGACAAAAAGTTCAAATTATCAATTTGAATTCGGCGATCTCTTAGTGCTTAGTGTTTGCACAACACGAGTAACGGGTATAGCGAATAGCTTTCTTTGAAAGGAGTTATCTTTGCCGGGCAATTGCAACTGTGGACAATGTAAATACATACATATGTACATATATGCCTTCATACATACACAAATACGTCATTGTTTGACTCAGACCTCCAATTTGGCTAACTAGATTTGATTTGCATAGTTCTTGGGATATAGTTTGGTATTGACAAATGAAAACCATCGCAATTTCCTTTAATAGAAATCCTTATCGAGAATTAACGTTGACTCTGTTGAGCAACTTGGCCAGCTGTTCCAAAGTCATCCGTTAGATGGCGCCATGAAAGGCGGAAATGTAGGCGCTAGCCAGGCTTAAGCGTTAAATGGGTTTTTGGGCGTTAGAGTGGGCGTGGCAAACTTTTATTAGGCCAATCGATAGGTATTGACGAAACAAATACATATCAATTAAAATTTTCATAATAGCATCAAAACTGTGGCCACAGCTTGTGGCTTGTGGGCATCAGAGGGGGCGTGGCACCATTTTGAAACAAACTTGCGCTGCGTAGGAACTCCTAAAATCTACATGCAAAATGCCAATCTTCTAGCTTTTATAGTTTCCGAGATCTCAGCGTTCATACGGACAGACAGACGGACAGACAGACGGACAGACAGACGGACAGACGGACAGACAGACGGACAGACAGACGGACAGACAGACGGACAGACGGACATGGCTAGTTCGACTCGGCTAGTGATCCTGAACAAGAATATATATACTTTATAGGGTCGGAAACGCTTCCTTCTACCTGTTACATACTTTTGCACGAATACAATATACCCTTTTACTCTACGAGTATTTGGTATAAAAATTAAAAAATTTAAATAAACACCAACAAATTATAATATACAGATTATATTCCATATATGGACTTTCGATTTTATTGCAGTGTTAATTCAAACATTCCCAGCCCAAATATGTACATTTCGTTTGAACTGCTGATTTTTATCTCAATAGGATTTTCTTCTGGTAAGTTAATCATTTTGTGTTTCGTAAAACATTATTTAATTTATTCTTTATGAAATAATAATATTGATTTAAATCCAATTTAAGCCTGTGATGGTTGATGCCTTTAATGTCATTTTTATACCCGTTACTCGTAGAGTTAAAGCTGTGGCCACAGTTTTGATGCTATTATGAAAATTTTAATTGATATGTATTAGTTTCGTCAATACCTATCGATTGGCCTAATAAAAGTTTGCCACGCCCACTCGAACACCCAAAAACCCATTAAACGCTTAAGCCTGGCTAGCGCCTACATTTCCGCCATTTATGGCCTGTGGTACCAATGTCAACGTTAATTCTCGTTTAGCTGAGTAACGGGTATCTAATAGTCGAGGCACTCGACTATAGCGTTCTCTCTTGTTTAAGAGTGGAAATTCATAATTGTATAATTTGGATGCTTATTTTTCTAAAAAAATCACTTAAATTTCTCTGAAGTCCAAGTGCCGACAGCATTCCGAATTGACCTCTAAATTTTTGACTGTAAACAAACCCCAACGAAGTCTTCCGCGTCATAAAAGTCCCTTAGGAACTTTGCACCAAACCCCAAACTGTGACTAACCAACGGCCAATTGTTTTGCTCGGTCACGTCATGATTTCTCTCGGGGCGCCTTTCTTAACTTCGGCAAAACTTGGGAAACAGCATCAACGTAAATTTAGTCTCCTTTTAAAAAACGGTGCTGATAGAGCGGTGCGTTCGGAGAGCTAGTGAGCCCCATTTTGCCATGAATGAAATTTAAAAAATATATTACACATTCGACATGGTGGTTTTTTGGATATTAGCTCTGAATTTTTCACGCTATTTTCAAATTTTTAAAACCAATCTTAAATTTCATATCTTCCTTCTTTCTAACTAATTAAACACTCTTAAAGCGTTTTCAGATTGTGAACTCAATGAGAAGTGCGTCGAGCTATATAAGTGCCCCCACTTGTATAATAAGAATTCAGACTGGAAAGCAATCAAACACAGACAGTGCGGTTTCCATCGACACCACAAATATATCTGCTGCCCGGAACCAGGTTACATCCTGCCGATCTGTGGAAAATGGGAGAAGTGCGTCGAACTATATAAGTGCCCTCACTTGTATAATGAGAAAACAGACTGGAAAGCAATCAAACACAGACAGTGCGGATTCCATGGAAACGAAAAATATATCTGCTGCCCGGAACCAGGTTACGTCCTGCCAACTGAGACGATCTGTGGAAAATTGGGTCCAACGTATCGAATTACAGGTGGCAAAGAGGCTCAGCCGAAAGAGATCCCCTGGATGGCCCTGATTCTATACCGGAATACAAGAACTTTAAAACCGGAACAGAAAACCCTTTGCGCGGGGTCCCTGATCAACAACCGCTACGTCCTGACCGCAGCACACTGTGTGAACAGGGCGTATTTGCTAAAGGACAGCAAGGTCTGGGCCGTTCGCCTGGGCGAGCATAAGCGATTCTCCAATTCAGACTATAGACAGATGAATGGGAAGATGTCGAAGAGGATTCCTCCGCATTTGGATATCCACGTGGAGCATATAATCAAACATAAAGATTTCGACAAGAGTGGAAATATGGAGAACGACATCGCTCTGCTGAGGCTCCAAGTGCCAGTGCGGTGAGTAATGGATCATAACCAATGATTGCCTTTTTATTACTGTAGCTCGCACATATTTTATTTCTCAGCTACACCAAGGAAATCTCTCCAATTTGTCTACTCGGTGGGCATATCTCATCGAAACCCTACATAAGCACCACATTGGAAATAGCTGGTTGGGGCCGTACTGAAAAGAATATACCCAGTGCAGTCTTGATGAAGTCCAGCATAAAGGAAGTGAATGAAGTTTGGTGCCCAACGTACTATCAATTCTCGCAGGAATCACAAATATGTGCCGGTGGTGAAGGTGGCAGAGACACCTGTAAGGGCGACTCCGGCGGTCCGCTGATGGGCACCATGGGAAAAATCTACGAAGGATTCGTGTATTTATATGGCATTACCTCATATGGAGACAATGATTGCGGACAGAATGGCCGGGCAGGTGTTTACACCAAAACGAAATTCTTTCACGATTGGATTAAGTACCACTTGGAACCTTAAAACCTGGCTGATTATTTCAAACACTTTTATATGTATTATCGCCTACACATGTACCTCCGATTTCCCATTCTCCCGTACTACTAACTCGTGTCCAGCTTAAACTTTTTCCAAAACAAAAGTAGACGAAAGCGATTTTAATAAGTTGACCTTGGAAAATTTAATAGCTTCACTGTTTTTAAACATAAAGGCATTAAAATCGATATATGTATGTATATAGTAAACGACTCATAAAATTAAACAAAAACTTTTTTAACGAGGTAAAAATGTCATTTCAATCGCACTTGATACACTTTTTATAATTTGTAAGCTTTTTGTCTTTTATTATATTTAACAGATAAAATGTATTAAATAAATTAAAAATTATTCCGTTTTACCTAAAAAACGTATAAGATTTTTTTTATCATCAATTTGGCTAGCATAGTTTTCAGGGCATTCGAATAAGCATAGAATCTTACTAAAGATCTGAAATGGGTTGCATTTTTAAATCTGAATAACTCACAAACGCAAGTTTTTAAAAAAAATGTGTTATTAAAAAAAATTGCCAAAAAAATAAAACCTTTGGACAAGAGCATCGGATTCATAGCAAGTAGGGATCATTGGTTCAAACCATAAACATGAACTTATGACTTGCTTATTTAATTGTATTCCAGAATGAACTGGATATGAAATTCGTCATTAAGACGGGCGCACACGAAAACACCGGGCAAATAAGTGATTTCCAATTCGATCAATTTATGGCATGACCTTTATCAAGTAGATATGTTTTATTTCACTATTAAGGTCAACACTCATTTACATGTTCAAGTAATGAGTCAGAAATGAATCGTTGCGAGGTACCCAATGAATAAACGATTTTTTAATGATTAAGTAACAAATTTATTATTTTGTTTATGGTCTAGCGTTACGCACTTATTAAACGTTCAAAAAACAACAAAAAGTTTCAGACGTGCCATTTTTCATCGACAACTACTCATTTGGCAGATTAAGGAATACACAAGTTTAATAATAATAAAGAAAAAATAAAACGTAAGAACGACAATGATTTTTGAATTTTTAAATAATCATTATTTAATTGAATATTTCATTTCATTTTAAAATACGTTAATTCGAATTTTAAACTTTACAACGGCTTGTAGTGTAAATGTAAAAGTAAAAAAAAGGTGAAGATCACTGATAAATTGTTATCAAAGTTATCCACCATTGATTGGTATAAGTGGTGTACTCATAGATTATTTTTTGGTGATTTATTTTTAGTATATTCGAGGGAACCACTTTTGGTCACACTGAGTCGAACGATGAACAACAACACAACGTCGTGTCGCGTTCGTTAAAAAAGATAAAAACCCAAAAATAAAAATAAAGTGAATATACAGCTTCCCCTTATTATTAATATGTTACTGCGCTGCTGCGAAGTGCGTTTAATGATCCGTGCCAAGTGAATTTTTATGAATATATATGGGCGAGTGCAAAATCAAAGCGATAAATCGCAGTTGCGATGAGCAGCTCCGAAAAATGCCAGCGATGTTGTGCAAGTGAATTAATGTCGAATTGCGCACAATTATTATTATTTTTATTAGTGGTAGTATGTGCAGTTGTTTGTGGCGGCGCGAAAAGTTCGCAAAGTTTGCTGATTTTGCGGACAGGAGGCGGCAATCGATTGAAATAACGGTGTACAAGAAGACGAAGAGAAAAACAAACTGAAAAGCATAGCAAAGAGCAGCAAACAAAACGGGGGAAACGCAACAGAGTGAATTGTTTCAAGTGATACACCCCCCATATCTTCCATATTCCCCCTTTTTACCCCTGGAATACCCCAAAAAAAGTCAAATTACGTGGCAAGTGGTCAGGCAAGAAACAACAAAATAAACCAGCTTTGGTGGGAGCGTGCTAAAAACGCCCCCCATTCCGCACCACCACCACCACCCACCAGCCAAATAAAGGAGTACAAGAATCTCGGAGAGCCACCACCACCGAAATGTCGTCACTCAAGGTCGCCGTGAGGGTTCGCCCCTTCAACTCCCGGTAAGCCCAGATATTCGATAACTATTTCTGTATACAGATGCGGTCAAAATAATAGCACACTTATAAAAACCAGTAAAATCAAAAAATTGCACCGCAATTAAACCAAGGTTAAAAGATTTTGAATTCTAAAATAAACCAAATGTTTTAAATTATGATTATTTTTTCTATTATGCCCTATGTTATAAAAACGTAATGCATAGAAGATTGCAATTATAATAAATGTATACCAATCGTTCAGTTTTAATTACTTTATATCTTAAGTCATCTATTGAAACGATTTAAAAACCCAAATATTATTTAATCAATTATTGCTTGAACTCTTCAAGAATGTTTAGATATTATTAATGATTTGGATGGCCTTTAGATGATAATGTTTTGGGTAATAAGGCAAAAATCATGTAAGATAAACCTAACCCATAAAAAATGATGTATACCTGACCTTCATTGCGAGAAAAGTATATACTGAAACCGAAATTCTTTAATCTTTAAATATTATTCAAAAAAAGTGAAACAAAATAAATATTTACTATATTCATTAGACAGTGAATGTTAAGTCCTCCTAAAATCCAAGAACGCAACTAAATTTATTAAATGCTAACACGCTTTACATAGTCAATGTGGTTTGCTGTGCTATTACTATGACCTCAATTATAAGTAAGAGAATGTTTGTTCAGACTCCCTGATAAGACGGATAAAATATGTAACGCCCCTCAATGAACATTGGGAAATCTGTTGCGCATTTTACTGGCCCGAAAGAATGGAAACGAATCTCTGGGAATTCCAAATTTTCAGTTAACAAATTTCGGTACAAAGAAAACACCTCGAAATGAAAACAAAAAAATTACTGAGTAGAGGGTCTAGCCAAATGTGCCTACTTATAACCACGTTAAACGTAGTGTTTTTTTACCAACCTCGTCTACGATCGTTAACTATTTTTGTTGCTGTTTTTTTTCCTGTCTTTATCTTGTCCATCTGGCAGAGCGGTCATTGCTTTTGGCACAGTTATTTGCGCATAAAGCCGAGCCGCAACAAAAGCAGGCGAAAGAAAGACGAACGCACAGAGAAGTTAGCAGAACTGCCAGACAAAGAAAGATACATTCCGGTAATGATGTCATTCATCTCGGGGTTCGATATAAAAATCACATGAACCTATACAAACGAGCTATCTGGGTTTTGAGTTTACGGCCTGCCGTGTGTTAATTGTGCATGAAATAAAACAACATCATCAGCGGGCAAATGCTGTAATTATAATAGCAAAAAAAAACAAAAGCTAACTCCCTGCGGAGTTGTGACATCATCGTTTTGGCTTAAACTTATGCAAAGCAGCTACTAATAAAAACAGGGCCCACTCAATACGATGAACCAACAAAATTAGGACAAACCATTGGCATAAAAATCAAAAATCATGTTCATTCATAAATTTAACAGCACTATTTAAGTTAGTGCATTTTATAATAGAACGTCTAGTCTTCCGAATTTGCAGTCATTTATGTTAATTTATATACGTAGGTATGAGATATGATGATATTCCCAGAGCTTTTACTGTACATATTTTTGCCCACTTTGTTTGGCCTCCGGACGGAAATTTTTAGCACATATTTCCACGGCTCCTCAGTGGACATGCAAGACTGACTGCTCATAGTAGCCTCCATGCGAAAACAAAAGCAGAAATCTACTATAATTACCTATAAGTGTGTTTATATGCACTGCACCCCAAAAAAAAAAAAAACAAATTTTGATTTTGGCACGGAACTGGCCGAACAAGTTCCATATCTCACCGCTCAGCTCCCATGAGTCAGACCAGCGAAATTTGTTGGTGTCCCGCATAAATGTTTAATTGAGGAATGAATCAACGCTAAAAAGAATTTTCCGCTGGAGGGAGGAGGTAGTTAAATGAGGCGATAGCTCAGCAAACATAGCCGCTCTTTTTCCATAATCTCCAACTGGATGTCTGCTCTTTCGTCGGGCCAAAGATTAACGAATTAAAGCCACTCAAACGCAATGAGTACTGAGCCGACTTGAGTGCAGCTTGGCAAAGTGGAGCGGCGTAATCATGCCAGCCCATGGAAAAGAGGGGAATGACCCAAAATTGACGCTTGAAATGGGACAAGGCACTGCTGCAGTCGTGAAATAAATAAAGCTTTTCGTACCGAAGCATAAATTCCCTTTAAATTGATTAAAAAATTGATACTAAACAAATTAACATAACATAAAATATATATTATACAGAATAACAAAGCTGTGGACTTTACTTAACAGGGTATGTTAGTTAACTTTTAAACTAAAAAAGGTACATTAAAAAGTAATCAAAAGTCCAATTCGTAATACTTTAATTGAGTGTGGGAAAATAAAACTCATTAAATTTACCCTGATAACGAAAGGACAATGAGTTCTTAAATGTTGACCTCAATATTAGACTCAAACAATTATTTTCCAGAAACTATTAGGTCTCTGGAATCTCACGAATTTCTCATAACAGATTTTATACTGTGCCAAACACGAATTTCTCATAACAGATTTTATACTGTGCCAAACATAGACATTCTATAAAATTTTAATAACAATCATGTGATATTTCTCTGTATATATCTAGAAGTAATGATCCATATGATACAGCCTATTCAGATATACGTAAATATAATTTCCCTGAACGGCGTGCTGTTTTGAGTTTTCTGTTTGTTTAGATGCGTTCTTCGTGTGAGTTTTCCAGTTAGAGTCTGTTTCCGCGTGTGGGTGCCCCCATGAACTCCAGTCAACCGGTTCGGTTCCATCTTTAAACGAATGTTCTATGCCCAGGCGCGAGTCTTTCCATCTCTTTTATTTGCGCCGCTTTTCCTTTTGATGTTGCAATCAAGTCTTTCAGTTTATTATTCTCTCCAAACCGGATTTTTTTTTTATAATTTGTAGCTAGCTTTACGTCGCCTGATCACAGGGCAAACATGTCAATTGGATTGCATGGGGCAGTCTATTTCTCGTCTATTTCCATTCGCTTTCCCCGTGTAACGCCCCCTGACTTTTCGCCATTTGTTCGGGTCATGCAAAAATCGTTAATAGGAATATTTATGAGCAAGCTGTGCGGTCTATTTTTATTCCAACACGAAGGGCCCTGAAAGGCGGGCTATGGAGGTGTTTTGTGAGAAAAAGCGAACAGTATTTATTATATAAAACTTTAACAATAGGCTTGCTCGACGTCTGTCAGCCAAAGCCCTATTATT